TATATACGAATATGATGCACACACAAAGAAACCAGTAATGATATCAGTTCCATATAACATGTCAAGAAATTATCCTAGGCTATTAGGCATCATAAACCATGCAATTCATGAATATCCCTAGCCTACAAACTCGCATGCATTTTTATCATATCATCGGTACACAAAACAAAGTGTCGGTATCTTGAGGAATACTTTCCTTGGCTCCATATGATTGTTCACATCACATCTTATCTGTCGATAATTTTAGAGTTAATTTTGAAAAATATTTTGCAGATCCATAGTTTGAGTCTGGAATCATACAAGTGTTTATCCAATTCTCTCAAACTAGGTCTCTGATACCAACTTATAACATCCCAAAAATCATGATAAAATTGTTTCACTTTTGAAAAACATTTCCACAAACCATAATATAATAAACCATCGCTTTCAAGAGAAATCCATAAAATTATAGTATCAAAATCTCTCAAAACATATATCAGCAGGAGGATGTGTACGATCATGCATTCGCCTTGTTCCGATCATTTGTACCTAAAACCATGAAACCAACAACTGTAAGCCAAAGCTTAGTGATTTCCCCTAGAATTCCCAACACAACAAAACATATGCAAACATGCACATTGGGTCCTGAGTGGTTTTGCAATTTTCTTCTTCCTTCAAAAGTGAACACAAAACATTCTCAAGTCTCAAAACTCTCAAAAGGGGATTAAGGTTTCAAAGGGGGCCACTTGGGATGATGGAGGTTGAGGATGGAAGGGCCTCAAAGGAGTTAGAGCAACTGATATGTGCATAGTTAGCTATATATTTCGATTAGAATTTTATTACTTTTTGGCTAATTTATCAGAATTTATGGACAAAATGTACTTAATTATGGTTAAATTGTATTTTCAGTCTAAAAAATGAGCTTGGAAGCAAAAGGAAGTGGGAAATGCGATCGGGAACTCGAGAATTGAAGAAAGAAGAAAAAAGAAGAAAATACTCAAAATCCTAAAGGACTCGGCGAGTTGCATCGACTACTTGACGAGTCCCCACGAATATTCGTGAAGCAAAATACAAAGTCATTGCCGTATACGGATTCTTAAAGGGCACTCAGCGAGTCGGTTAGCTACTCGGCGAGTAGCCCCTGTTTTATGAAGACTATAAAGAGAAGCCAATTGTCGAATTAAAATCTCTCTCTAGAACCCTTGGGGGATTATTCTGCGATTAAGGTGTTGCTGGAGCTTTGGAGTTCGTGAAGACAACCCTATACTTCAATTTTAAGGAGATTAAAGGCAAATTTAGTATACTCAATACTTTATCTCTTATTTGAATCATGTTTGAGTATTTAGACATTGTTTGTGAGTTACTATCTGCTCTGATTATGAGCAAAACTTATTATCTTCTGTTTAGGATAGATAAATTTACAACTACGGACTGATTTGTGGTTGGATTAATTGTTTATTGGTGAATTTTGTTTTATTAAGCTTGTTAAAGAACCTTATGATTAACCACAACTATTTTCTGTTAATTAACAAGTAATTAAGCTGCATGAAGATCTCGTAATTGCTTATCTCATATTATTTGTGTGAAAACATTGTTATGTGTCTAGGAATAGTGAATGTGAAACTAGGATTAACTAGAAAATGGGCAAATTAATGTGTGAGCGTGTGTGCTAAACCATCAACAAGAAGCTAATTGAATTAGTAATTTGATTAGCTAATTACAAGTCTTATTTAACCCGAAGGAAATTCATTAGTTTAATCACTTGACCACCGGTTAAATTAATCTGTTTTCTAAGGATTGGTAATAGCAAATATGAACCTAATCATTTTAATCGGTAGCCAATAACAATTAATCCATTGCACTTGCCATAAAATCAACCATAGGAGTAAATGAATCGAACCTAAACATAAGTCTTCTTATTATTGAATTTAGTTGGTTTTCACTTGCTTTAGATGTTACTTATTTAATTTTCATGCTAGTTAATTTGTTAAGTTTCTAGTCTTGCAAAACTAGAAAAAAACCCTCTACTTTTATTACTTGTTTTAGTTAATTCTAGTTATTAGTTTAATTACCGTTCCCTGTGTTCGATAGCCTGCTTATTCAACTATATCACTAATTGACAGGTCCACTACATTTGTGTGTCTAAATTATATCTTAAAAGTAGGACTAAAACTAATGCATCTATATACACATCAGCAACAGATAAACAATAACCAGCAAGTAAATGAAATCATACAAATCTACCAATCTAACAGATCACTACAACATAGAAACATCCTATATACCAGGATACATAACACAACTTAGTGGGTCGGCATTGGTGCCTTCGACCTATGAGTACAGTGAGGAAAAATCACCTCGAAGTGTAAAAGATAGTTGAACTGAACACTGATCCAAATATCGGCTCTAGTCATCTATACAACAAACATCGACCAAGTTTCAAACTTCAATTCAAATTACTCCATTTGACCTAAAGTCAAAATTGGTCAAAGTCAACGATCAATTGTCAAAAAGTCAAAAGTCAACACTTAGCCAATCTATTCCCATCGTAGCAGCTCTACGCCCTGCGTAGAGCCTAAGGTGGCAAAAACGAAGGAAAATCAGTGTTACTCCCCATGTAAAGGGATTTACACCCTGCGTAAACCCCAGAAACCCAACCTAATCATTATGTCCTTAATTCAGTCCCAAAGCTCATCTAACTTCTACATCTTTATCTTATAAATGTCTTAATGTATAAAGTCTCAGACGTTATCCATTTGCATGTACACCAAGGGCACATAATCATTACATAAGTCCAAAAATCCACTCAATGCTCAATAACTCATGGATGAGAGTGACCAAAATCTCATTTTTATGACTTAACAACCCTAAAAACACCCAGAAATAACACCCCAATGGTCTGGAGTAGCTCTTACTCATATACATCATGGTTATGGGGATAAAAAGCATGAAATCCTAAGCATAATTAGATCTAACATAAAAACACATCAAGGTGGGAACTTTATACCTTTTGGAGATGGTTGAGTGGGTAAAAGTTATGGATCTATATTGATTTGAGCTCCTAAGTGGTTTTGCAATTTTCTTCTTCCTTCAAAAGTGAACACAAAACATTCTCAAGGCTCAAAACTCTCAAAAGGGGATTAAGATTTCAAAGGGGGGCACTTGGGATGATGGAGGTTGAGGATGGAAGGGCCTCAAAGGAGTTAGAGCAACTGATATGTGCATAATTAGCTATATATTTCGATCAAAATTTTATTACTTTTTGGCTAATCTATTGAAATTTATGGACAAAAGGTATTTAATTATGTTTAAATTGTATTTTCAGTCTAAAAAATGAGCTCGAAAGCAAAAGGAAGCGGGAAATGCGATCGGGAACTCGGGAATTGAAGAAAGAAGAAAAAAGAAGAAAATAGTCAAAATCTGGAAGGACTCGGCGAGTTGCATCGACTACTCGACGAGTCCCCACGAATGTTGGCGAAGCAAAATACAAAGTCCTTGTCGTATACGGATTCTTAAAGGGGACTCAACGATTCGGTTAGCTACTCGGCGAGTAGCCCCTGTTTTCTGAAGACTATAAATAGAAGCCAATTGCCGAATTAAAACCTCTCTCTGGAGCACCAAGTTTGGTGGTCCTAATGGCAAACACCATTTCAAAATACTATAGAAACATGTAAAAATCCAAATGTTTAGAAATAGGTACACTAAAGTGTTTTACATGAAACATTTATGCTTGGTTCATACATCAAAGTTCTTACTTGCCTGTAGACTTGACGTGGGGGAGCTTTTCCTCCTTGACCTTGTGAAGATTTTTTCCTATAGGCATTAGAGTTAGGAGCTGACGGCTGCTGGTTGGTTTCTCTGTGGACAATGCCACCTTAAATCGTTTTTTTAGTCTTCATCATTTACCCCCCTTTCTTTTAGTAGGCACCAGTCTTCTTCATTTGGCCACATTGCATCAATATGGATCAAATAAGCAGAACGCGCCATCACCTACAGCCCTTTCCTCTGCGGGGGACTTCCACGAAATGAAAACGGGAGGCATCGCTCGCACTTAGATGTTCAATACCCGTTGTGCCCCAACCAAATTCAGGTGAATGAGCTGGTCGTTGCTTAGTTTTCCTCGAGAGGGAAATGGAGCTCGAATCCATAGCATTCTCCACGCACCCACCATTCGTTAGCAGCGACCTTACCACGCTTACCACTAGCCATCATAGTTACAATCTTAACAAATACATCACTAACATGATACACCTTATTAATATATTAGCATACCTTATTATACATTCAAGGACGTACAAAGTAGGATGTTAAAAATCACCATCATTAAGTCTCATCCTTGGAGTTGCATCTAGCTTGACAAGATATTGATAATGCCTTTTCATTCCCTATACTTTTCCTAAGAGTGGTTGGAGTTTGTGACTATCTTTTCACCAAACCAAAACTAGCGTAAGATTTTGATTCTCAATTTTTTATTTTGTGTTTCGTATATGGCCTTAGGTTCTTCTATCATGCAATTTAGGGCATCAACTTTTATATCATTAAATGATATCATTTCTTCCTTATAAATCTAGTAATTTGTTAAGGGATCATATGTGGAAATTGCTATGAATACTTTCCATTCCTTCATGGAACTCTATCGCTCTATGTTTTATGTATGCATACCTCTTTTCTCTACCTTGAGCATCATTGTAAACTTCTTCAGATCATTTTTACTTTTTTCATGGTTCTTGTATGGTTTGTGGGCCATAAAAATGTTTCACACCGGCTTAAAGCCAACAAGAAGGAGCCTTACACTTTCTTCCATACATGAATTCGCATGGTGGTAAATCAATGCATGAGTGATAACTAGGGCACAACGTGGTAAATTTCGTATATGTAAATTTATAAGCATGTGGTTCCTAAGTAATTCCATATAAGGGGGCAGTGTCTATTAAGATCAGTAACCACAAACAAATTAAAAAATCTAAATTTATAGATTATTGGACTATCAATCACAACAAATAATTAAACTAAAACTAAAAATGAATATTGCCACACAACCAATAGTGAAAGGATTCAAATTGATCAAAGCCATCTTTTTTTATATGGTAATTGTTTTGCTACATATAAACTACATCAAAAGTGCTTAAAATAAGATTGTCAAAATCTTAAGTCTACAACCCACATAAAAGGTGCACAAATCTGTGCACTCTAAAGTTTGAGAACAAATTATGTGTTCGAAATGAATCATTTCAGATTACGCAACCCATGTTTTTGGAAAAGTATATAGTCCAAAGAGTTAAGAGTTTGGAACACTTTATGCCCCCATTGCAATATGCATTCTTTATAGCATCCATAATTGTGAGTTCAATAAAAGAGTTGAATGAAATGACAAGTTTATTTATCATTTAATAAATTAAACTTTAACATAGTGAGATGTCACATTAGTATTCAATGGATTTTGAGTTAATGGTCATTGAACTATTCAATCGAATAAATGAAAGTTTTTAATTCTTAAATATATATTATAAATTAGTTTTTTTTTTATTTTCTATTGAACATTATAGAGTTTAATGCATTATAGAAAAAAAAATTAATAGCGTTGTATGGAATGTAAAAAAAAATAATACTCAAATCTATTAAACTCTATGAAATTTAATGTATTGTGGATATCTTTAATCGTGAAAATGCTATTTCAATGCCAAATGGACGAATAATATAATTTACTATAAATTAAGGTTTGATGGTTTTCTTATGTATATTTGAACTACGGAAGAAAAAAAAAATAAACAAACTTGGAAGCTTAATGATTCTTTTATGTTTTTTAGTGATTAATTGGAGAAAAAATATATATATGAGAATTTAGGAAAAAACAAGAAAATGAAAAAATGAAAACTTGGACCACATATCACATTTGTTACTCGGTGTCGCAATTTACCCTACAAATTACCAACCATTACACACACACACAAATAATAATAAAAAATAAAAAAATAATAAATACAAGTCTAATCCAAAAGACCCCCAACCAGACACAAACTGGACTCAGTATCCACACATGTAATATCCTTTCATCAACTCGAATAAATTAAGTAACTGCTACCTGTTGTCATATGGAGATGTAACAAACGCCTTCTTCCAAACAGCACAGCAATGGCGGTTTCATCACTTCCATTCTCATCGCCTACCTTATCCACAAGGGTCCGTTTCCATTTATTATTTTTCTTTTTAGTGTTTTGAAAATAATTTCAATCAGTTTATTTTTGTTTTGCAGTTGAATCTACCATTGAAGCCTTCTTGTTCTTCATGTTCTTGGCCAACCATCATTGCATCCTCAAAAAATTCATCTCTTGATCAAAAAAGTAAGCTTTTCATGGTTCTTTGAAATGTTTATTCTCTGTGAATTAAACAACACTTCACATATTATCTCTCTTTTTATAATGTATTCATCTGCCATTGATTTTTTTAACAAGGTAAGCTTCTGTGAACTGAAAATTTTAGAGTCGTTTAAGCATGAAAATTTTGTGAAACAGCATCAGGAAATTGCAAGAGAAGATCACTACTAATAGGAGTTGGAGCTTCAAGTTTATTGCCTACAAAACTTCTATTGGCTCAAGGTTTATTATTTTTCATATATACCCCAATCTATTTCATATAACTTTGTATGAAAATAAAAATGCTAAAATGGAATTGAAAATTTTATAAAATGTATCATAACATTCTATTGTGATTCCATGCTTTTATTAGTCTTACACAGACAAACTATTACATTGTTGATGTTCACAGAGAAACCAGCAAACTATGATGAATTTGTCGACTTACAAGATGGTTACTCCTATTATTATCCCTCAGATTGGAGGGTGAGTTATATTATAAGCCTTGCGACCTTGATGTTTATCTTTTTCAGAAGTCGAGATTTTTAAGATCCAATTTTTCAGGAATTCGATTTTAGAGGACATGATTCAGCATTCAAAGATCGATATTTGCAACTACAAAATGTGAGGCTTAGTTTCATACCAACCGATAAAACAGACATCCAGGATATGGGTCCCATCGAGAAGGTTGTAGCCAATTTGGTGAAGCATGTTTACTCCACACCAACTCAAGTCCCGGATGTATTTGATATGCAAGAGGTCTGATCCTTTTTATCAAATCACGACACATGTACATTATTAGTACATATGCTTATTCTAATCTATCGCCTATAAATGCAGAGGACCACAGATGGTAAAAGATATTACACGTTTGAGTACACGCTAACATCTCCAAACTTCTCCCGTGCAGCCTTCGCAACCATAGCAGTCGGCAATGGTAAGACAACACCCAACATGACATGACATAACATAACATAACAGACTGTAAATCTTGACATGCATTGATTCGTGCAAACAGGGAGATACTACACGCTAATTGTTGGAGCAAATGAGCGAAGATGGAGAAGAGTGAGAAACCAGCTTAAAGTGGTGGCGGACTCATTCAAGGTGTTCGATATCTGATATTGAGTGATATCGTCTGTATATTTAGTTTTCCAAAGTACAATACACAAAGCCTAATGTACTCTTAAAGCAGCATACAAGCAGTAACAGAAAAAAAAAATTAAAAATTCAATCAATCTAAACCTCTTTATATACAGAAGGATTACAATAAATACGTTTACTTAATCCTTTGTAAGCCTCATCAAATTCGAAAAAATATACAAATGTACAAAAAAAGTCCGACGATAGAAACAGAATCACACTGACAAAAATAGAAAAGAAAAAAAAAAAGCAAACAAACACCTCGACACTAAGTTCTATCATCAACACAAATCAATATATCATGGAGAGACAGCAAGATTCTAACCTGCCTCTGAACGAATATGCAATCTGACCTGTCCTAACAAACTACCCCAAATGTAAATGCTATATCCGCCGCCGCCAACTCCCGCCACCTGCCACCACTCTTCACGTTCCATCTGTAAGGTCTTTCAGAACCTTAGACGGATGACATTACAAATAATAAATTTAACAATGTGCATGTATATATCCATATCCATTTTGTTGAATTCATCAATCACACGAAACCCACACATCTACACAAGTCTATGCTGACGAATACCCTTTCCAAAATGCGGTTGTATTAACCGAACATACAAACCGTTTTTCCCCATTAAAGAATCGTGGGACCCTTCCTCAACAATCCTACCACCATTAAGAACGACAATGTTGTCCACATGTTTCATCATAATAGCTCTATGAGCTATCAAAATAGTGGTTTTGTTCCCCATGACTAAAGTATCAAGAGCCTCCTGAACCACACGACTCGATTCCGATTCAATCGATGAGCTCGCCTCGTCCAGTAACAAAATCGGTGCGTTCTTTAAAATAACCCGGGCGATCGCGATCCTCTGCTTCTGGCCCGGGGTTAGATCCACGCCCCTCATCCCAACATGCGTATCGTACCCGTGTGGCTGGTTGCTGATGAAATGGTGCGCGTTTGCTATTCTTGCAGCTTCTTTGATTTCGGCTTCACTCGCGTTGTGTCTCGCGTATATTATATTTTCACGAATTGTTGTTGAGAAAATGATGGGTTCTTGTTGGACTACACCAAGGTGGTTTCTCAACCATCTTACATTAAACTGTTTCAAATCACGTCCATCCAGCATAATCTGTCCGGCAACCGGGTCGTAAAATCTCTCGATCAGTGAAATGATCGTGCTTTTTCCGGATCCCGAAACGCCAACCACCGCCACCGTCTGCCCGCCGGTCACCTTCAGACTGAAGTTACTCAGTACGAGAATCTCCGGGCGGGTCGGGTAGGAAAAGTCAACGCTTTTCAACTCGATGGATCCGTATACATTTGGTGGTTTCAAAGCGGAGGTATCATCGGGATCAATCTTGGGTACTCTATCGATGATTTCAAATACGGATATCAAAGACTTTCTTCTTTTGAGAATGTAAGGAGCCAAGCCGAAAGGCTCCACGAGGGCAAAAGTGGCAAAAGAGAAAACCATGTACTCTTTGAGAGCAGTTGGGAGATCCATGTAATTGTTCTTCACACAGATTGCGGTGTACCAGAGAAGAAGGGCATTGCATGCGAAAAGAAGAAACTGTGAAAACCCAAAAGCAAAACCGATAGCCATGCCATGAAAGAAGCTCTGATAGAATATCTTGCGTAGTTGTAACCTGTAAAGCTCCATAACTTTGTTGCCAGCACAGAATGCCACCACTGTGTATATATTTCTAACAGCATCTTCAAGAACCAATGACGCTTTCCTGTGCATCTCCTGTATCCCCTTTGAAAATCCCGCTAACCATAGTTTCTGTAATTCAAATTAACATATAAAGTATAAATATACGCGCGTTATTTTTTGATAATTTGACAAGGAGAAGGAAACATGAAAAAGGTTATGCCAATACCTGAGCAATGGCGGATAGGGTAAGAACAGGCAATGTGGCTAATGCTACAAGTGCTAATCGCCAATGGAGAAGCATTCCGATTAATATTGCAACCATAACAGCTGCACTATCTTGTATGAGTATAGAAAGCCGATTGCTAAAAGCTGCTCTCACAAATGTTGCATCGTTTGCTAATCGCATGGACAACGTGTCTGCGCTGTTCTCTTCTTCATCAAACCATCCAACTTCATTTCGAAGCATTGCTGAAAATTATAAAAGAAACAAATTATTTATAACTCGCAGTCATTAGTGAAAAACTACCTGCTAAAAAAAAAAGTTACTAACCAGAAAACATCATTCTCCTAACTCGTTCAGTCATTTTCTCCCCCATGATACCGAAGTAAAAGTGTTGTAAGAAGTTTGCGATTACAGTCACAACACCCATGCAGGCGATGATTAAGCACCACTTGTCAACTTCGTCGTGTATTTTGTGTCTTCTGTCGTTTTCGTTTCGATAATAAGCTGTGACAATTAGTGCGATGACATAAGCGAGAAGAGGGTTGAAAGAACCGAATATAGCAGCACCCGTGCTTCCTAAAACAGCATAAAGCCATTCAGCCAAACTTAATTCCACAAGTCTCCAAATTGATGGTTCTTTCTTTTTTTGTTTTTCTTTTACTGCTTGTTGTACTCTGATTGGCTTTTCAAGAGCATTATTAGGTCGACTGAAGGTTTGTGAATGTGAACGTTCGCTCTGCGGGTCGGAGGTCAACAATGGTGAAATGGGGGATTCCGGGTTTGACCCGTTTGATGGTTGTCTACGGATAGCGTGAACATCGATTTTTGGTAATTCGGGTAATCTTTTTTCGAAACTGTCTTGTCTTTTGATTGATGGTTCTTTGTTTGTTCCATCCATGGATAATCCGTTTTCTTTTTCTGCAGGGCTCGGGTTTCTTGGTGATTCGTGTGACCCGTAAGCTGAATCGGTCCTTGTTCCATGTAAGTTCGAAGCTCGTTGAAGTGATGGTGATTTTGCAAATTTTGGAGACGATGATTCTTGATAGTTATCTGTAGAATCTTTCTCGATTTGGAATGCTTGAGTCTCGTTGTATGTTCTCACTGGCATCCTATAAACAAATATTCAAAGCATTGAAAAATCAATCACAAAATAACAGAAGAATATTGTTAATTTGTGGTGGGAGTGGGGTCTACCTTCTTGGGAGTTTAGCTGCTTCTTCACATCTTAGAAGCTCTGCATATAACCCATCCGAGGCGATTAGTTCATCGTGGGTCCCGACCTCCATTAACTGACCATCTTCCATTACAGCTATGAAATCAGAGTTTCTTATTAGACAAAGTCTACGAGCAATGATGATAGTTGATCTGCCTAACATAAGAAGATCAAGAGCCTCTTGAACAGATCTTTCAGCTTCAAAGTCAAGTCCACCAGTCACTTCATCAAGAAGAAGAATAGAAGGATTTGAAAGAACTGCCCTTGCAACAGAAAGTCTTATTTTCTGTTCTTCTGTTAATGATAAACCAGCCCTGCCTACCTGAAAGTACACAAATGTTCTTTTAAGGAATTTTAAGTGATAGAATTACGTTTTTAGTCCTTAGACTTTAGAATTCTACCTGTGTGTCGTATCCTTTCTCTAGTGAGGTGATAAACGTATGTGCATGCGCTATTTTAGCAGCATCTTCTATTTGAAGTGTTGTGGCATCTCTCCCATAAGCAATATTGTCTCTTATACTCAAGCTTAACAAAGCAGGTTCTTGAGTGACTAAGCCAATTTGACTTCTTAGCCATTCCAATTTCAGATTCTTGATATTCTCACCATCCAAAAGAACTTCACCTGAGCAACAGTAGATAAAAGAAATCAAGGGTTTTGTTATACATGCAAAAAAGATCAACATCATATAAAAAATTATGCAAATTTCCATACCTAAAGTAGGATCATAGAAGCGTTCCATGAGGGGTATAATACTACTTTTACCAGAACCATTTCTTCCCACAAGTGCCACTGTTTTTTTGGCAGGGACAGTAAGGTAAAATCCACTTAAGATAGGAATTTCGGGACGCGACAAGTAACTGAAATACACATTCCGGAATTCGATATTCCCTTGAACAGAAGAAAGAGTGTTTCCATCATGATCAACAGAAGAAGATGATCGGCTAATCATTTCAAAAAGCCGATATGCAGCGATTCTTCCTTGCTCAAATGAATAGAAATTGGTTGCAGCTTGATTCAGCCCACTGTGGAAACCAAATGTCAGAATGAAAGTAAGAAAAAAGGGGAAACAAAAAAAAAAAAAAGATTTTCAAGAAACTTACAGGCCACTTAAAATGATAGCAAAAAGAGCAGTTACAATTTCTCCACCATGAGCATGTCTATGTGTAACCAAAAACCTTCCAACATAAAGTTGCAAAGCACAAGAGCAGATTGCAAGCCCATATGTGAAGCCAAGTCCAAGTCCTTGTACAAGACTAATCAATATTCCATATCTTAAAGTAGCTTGTAGTGAAGCTGCATAGGAATATTTGGCTAATGTTTCGTTTGTAAAAGCATACAATGTCCTAACATATGAAACAGCCTGCAAATTTAAAAAAAAAAAAATGTTATAATATTACAACTAACAATTTTTAAGTTACTTGTAGTTGACCAAAGGGGAAATGAAGAAACCTGGTCAGCAACACCTGCTGCTTCAGCATATGCATCTTGAATATTCTCAGCAAGTCTATGGAGAAATATATTTGATATTCCTCCTGCAGCCACAATAAAGGGACCAGTTAATAAAGTGAGGCCTGCAATTTGCCAACAGTTGAGGAATCCAATTACAAGGCCACTGAAGAATGTAGCCATGTTATGAATATAATTTCCAACCTGCAACAATAAAACTAATCAGATAAATCAAGGGATTATGTACTAATTCCAATAAGAAAAATAATTGTGGACCTACTTTTTCACTAAGGGCAGATTGGATAAGTAATACATCACTTAACACTTGGCTCACAATGTCTCCATTGTTTCCATAAGTATCAAAGAAACTCATATCTTGATTAAGTAGTACTTGCACATATCTTGACCTGATAACAGCTGTCTGCCTTTCTCCCGTAAGAATCCAACATGAAACCTCTGGATGTAAAAGTAATTAGAAACAACAGCTGATAATGAGAATCATTTAAGTAAAAGTGAAAGAGAAATGGATCTATCTGATTAGAATTTTGAGTATTTACCTATCCAACCAGCAGCAAAAACACCACCAGCAATATAAACAAGGGTGAGGGCAAGCTGCAAATATTGTGAAAGAATGTCACTTGTGGTGAAAAAGAATCCAATTGTCTCATAAATATATGAATTAACTAATTCTTTAACTATGCTTTTCTTTTTCTCTTCTATCTAAAATCTAAATTGTATCTATTTACTATCAACCCCTCCTCATCATTCACAAAATAACTATATGAAAGCTTAAATTCTCTTCTACCACTAAGCAAAGGTTGCCATATGCTAGCCTCTAGGATGCACTGCTAAACAGTAAACACCATTCCCTAGCTTTCAATATACCTAGATCTTGAACTTCAAATGCACCATTTACTACCTAGCTCTACAGAATGTAAAGATACTATTAGCAAATAACATCTCATCTACTTTTTCTTATAGTCCACATTGTCTTTAATCCCCAGTATAAAGCTTTCCATGACTAAAATAACCAGTGGTACTATCAATCTCCTAAGAGAACCATCATAGACAAATCATGACAGTATTACCTTCTAATACTACATTACAACAATGAATATAAAACTAAAGTTTCTGGTAATTCCGTATGGATTTCTTATCTATAATGACATCATTACATAACTTCTTATGTTAATACTCCATCAGTTTGTAAGGAGGTAGCTGCTTGATGATCCCTTCACCATGCATATTTGATCACTAAACCTCATAAATGCCACATTGAACTTCCCTCATTCAAAAAAAAAATCAACATTATTGGCATCACTAGTTACTAAATTTTCAGGAGAAGTCAATAACTTACTGGTCCAGAATATATTTCTTAATGCTGAACCAAAATGAGCACTAAAAATGACATGGTGCTACTTTTTCCATCATCATTTGCCGTTTTTGATGAAAGCTTACCATCATGACAATCACTATTAGAGGTCACAAGATTTCTAGGAAGTTTAAAGGAAGAACTTCTTCTATGTTATTTTACTTCTTTACTACTGTGAGAATAAACGGATTACAAATTAAAAAACAGCAGCAACAGCAGAATCAGTACTTCTAAGTTATAACTCAATTATAAAAACTAGCAAAGTAAAATGGTAAATAACTTTCAAATTAAAACCAACTTGCCTCTTTGAACCTATCAAAAAGCAAATCCGGGTTATCCTCGCCGTGACCTAACAACTGAACAATTTTGGCAAAGTAATGCAAGTAAACAACCAGTGCTGTCCCATGCGCCGCCGCAGCAATCGATCCAACCACCATAAGCACCCAATCCAACCTATCAGCACACACAAACAGCTTGGAGAACGGTACAGTAGCTGGAGGCGGCTCGATCTCCTCTGTCTCCTCCATTTCCTCTTCAGCTTCAACAGGTAAAGCATCGTTACTTATGTCCATGTAAGGCGACGGAGACTCTGGCGGCTCGGAAACCTCCGATACCGGCGTTAAAGGCTGTATGTGTGGTGGGGACCACCCAAACAACCCTCTCGATATCATCATCTTGTTGAATTTTCACAAACCCTCGAACCAAAACCCAAAATTAAAACTCTCTCAAAACCCTAAAAATAACCATCAAAATGGAAATTGAGATGAAATCGATGAGCCGAATTGTGAAGAGATTATTCGGCTACTGAAATTGTGATGAAGATTTACACTTTCCTTCTCTCCAACTTTCTCTCGCACACACGATTTGGGGTGTGTGAAAGAAAGCATAAAAGAGAGAATCGGCGTCGTCCGATTTCGTGACTCGGTCAAATAAGGCGTGAAAGGAGAGAGAGTTGACTCGGGAACCGAAGTTTCTTTTGGGTTTTTCTGTTAGTTGTACACCTTCGTACGTCGTCGTTTGTTTTAGTATGAAAATTGGATGTGTCCAAAAATGACCTCTAAGTTTGGGATCTCTTACATATTGGTCAATGTCACTTTATTACACCAAGAAAATGACAATTTATTTGATTGTAAGTTTGGGGCCTCTAAGCTTTGAGTTTTTTAACATCTATAAAACCACATAAGGTATGATAATTTTTTTGTCTTCTTACCCAATGACATAGTTAAGCTGGCTCGATGTGACAAGATAACCTATCTATATTTGAGTATATACATGTTTTATTTAAGAGAAATCAAATATATTTCTACTTTTTCTTTCTATTATGTTCCAATACATTTAAGATTTTGATATTTGTCCTACTTGATAAAATTAAAAAAAAAATTATTACATTTGTCATCATCTAAAAGTGGTATGAGGATGGATAGGAAGAAAAAATAGAAAGATATTTAATTTTTCTTTATTTAATTGTAGTTTTACTAATATATGGTGTCTTTATTGCTAAGTAATCAATTTATGGATCTGCAAACTATTCAATACATATTTACCTGCCACATGATATTTTTTGTAGTTAATATGGTGTGATTTTGTTCGGATTACCGAGAATAAATCTTTGAGGTTTGAATAAATTTATATCTTATGTCAATTCGCACATTCATATAATATATCTAAATTTAAAACATTTAAGTTACATGAAAATGTTTATATAAGTTACTTTACTTAGTACTTTGATGATGTCAAAAGGTGGTGGCGTGGTGTATGTGGTTTTTTTTATAAAATTGCTTATGCAATACAAGTAAATTATTTTAAATCCAACCTCATCTATTGTGCAAACAAAATGTGGGAAATGATTAAATCGGAAGATTTTTTAGGCAAAAAAATCCTTCTAATAATAATAACACAAGTGCCAATTAATTAAAAAAAATATATTCATTTTATCAAATGTCTACTTCTTCATCGTAACATTAGGTATCTAATAAATCACTCGGTTGAGTTGGTTGACCTACATTAGGTTTCTTGTAGAAACAGAGATTATTTCGTTGCAAGTTGTTTTCTGATATGTATATTTTTGTTAGGAATGACAACACATAAAAACAAAAAACACATTTGAAGCAATAAATACAAGGTTTGAATGGTGAATGAGTGAAAGTGGAGGGTGTATAATGCAACTTTTTTATTTTGTAGTGAAAAGAGGTTCATGAAGCCAGTTTTGGTTGATCCCAGTCCTCGAGGACAGCTGTCCGGTGAACAGTGGGCGACGGAATTAGCAAAAAGCGGTGTAGGTAACAGGGAAGTTTTCCCGTATTTTTGGTTTTAAATTTAATTATTTTCAAAAATAATAATTAAAAAGGGTGGGGGCATGATGATTGAAGGCTGCCAGTCCATTTTATCTGTTGCATTTGCTCTTTTATGTAACTTTTATTTGATGACATATCATTCATCTCCTATTTTAAAAAAATAAAAACCCATAATTTTCTATTTTTCTTTTATTTTCATCCACATCTTTGCAAAAGTTTTAATAGCTTTTTAAATTTATTATTTTGATTCTAATACATTAATAAATTAAGAATTGCCCGTTCAAAAACAAATTTGATTGATTTACCATCAAATAAAATATTGATTAACAAAATTTAGTATCTGCTTTTTAGTAACCGGATTTTTCAATTGATTAAAAACGTAGAACATAATGTAGCTAAACATTTTATTATGAAATTATAATTTTTAGATGATAAAAAGGAGGTGCTTTCACATATAATTTATTTATTATTATTTTATCAGCAAAAGGAATAATGATTTTTGAAAAGAAATGATTTTTTAATATGGAATGTAGAATTTTTATATTGAAGCCATTCATACCACGCATATCTCTATATATCTCTATTCTCTCACGTTCTCGATTTTCTAAACAACTTCTTAATTTATTTACATAATATTTTTGTAATTTATTTTTATAATCCCACACAAAATTGCAACCACTTGGAGCCAAATAATTATTCAACTTTAATGATATTTTACTTATATATGTATCTATATATTTTTAAACGCTGGATATGCTTTTTAACTAAAAAGCTAACATTTTGATGTACTTGCATTTAATAATCATTGACATTAATAGCTGAATAAACAATTTAGCCAAAATTATTGATTTGTTTCCATCATTAAAATTCATCTATCATGTTACCAAGTTGTTCTGGAATTTTATTAACCTAAAACGTTGTCAAAATCAGATATACTATAACTAAGTAAACAATTTAATAAATATCGTATTAGATTAGATACACGAAACCATTAAAGTATCAATCAAGCTCCTCTTGTGTTTTTTTAGTTGTACAAGTGGCAATTGTAATCCCGAATATTTAACTTAAGTGTGACTTGTAGTTTTGTAGGCATTCGATTCTATATGTCGAAAGTAAATGTGCAATATAATTAAGTATTATGTCTTAATAGAAAATCATTTTGTTTGCGATTTATAAATAGAAGTAAACATTTTCAATGTATATGATTTTCTATAGCAGGAAAGCCCAAACTAGAAACCAAAAAATTAGGGTTTTTAGTCGTTCATAGCTAAAAATATAGAATCGAAGTATAAGTTTCAAGTTGTAATGTGTAATTTAACTGATAAAAATACCAAAAAATTGTTCCCCAATGAGATCTTTGAAGTTATTCTCCTCCAAATCATCCAACTTGCGTCCAAATTCGAGAGATAACAAAGATGACATAAATGGTATTTAAATCTCATAAAAGTGTTAGTTGTCTCGACTCAACCACGTCAATTCAAAAGCAAAGAGTAACTTGATCTCGGTTTAGGAACTCTCAAGAATGACTTATTGTACTTTTGGTTATGAAATTTTTTTCAATTTTCTATAAATATTTTCAAATGAAAATGAAAATTTTGAAAACACCTATGGTTGATTTATTTAAAAAAAATCCAAGAGAAGAAAATTTTTCTTTCTTACAAATTATATGTGAATTAGAAAAATGTTTTTTATGGTTTTTCAAAGTTTTTTAAAATTTTAAAATGGAAAATAAAAACTTTCAACCAACGAGTTATCTAAAAATTTCATTGAAAAATAAAAATAAAAATTCAACTTATTTTCTAAAAACGATTTTGAAATCAGTTTTATAAAACCAGATGTAACCTGAAATTTTCAAAATTTTCAAAATTTATGGTTCTTGTACTAATCTTCCTAAAATTTGAACCACAACCTTTTAGCATCATCGAAATCACAATCCTACCTTCAAAGACCCTGCAAATCATCCAAAAAATATACAAATAACAAGATTGTACTAATCCATATATAAAGTCCCGAAAATGTCAACCTACTTAACCCATGACTTGACTAACCAACTTAAGCTATGACTTGCCTAACTTTTGTGGTACAAATTTCATAGTTTTGTTATCGTATTTCATATAGGTTTGCAAATGCAAATATTCATATTACAGAAGTTGATTAATTTGTGTCATACCTGGATCTTACACATATGTGTGATATTGCTATAGGGAAGCTAATTTGAATCCTACACCTAACACCAAATTTAACCTTACAGCAACCAAATTGCTTCTCAATATAAATAACTATGTAATACGCCATATAGTTTTGATTGTAGGTTTATTGTCTCATTAATAATGAATTAGTTTCGAGTTTTGTTGATGTTTTGTTTATGTTACTTTATCCTACATATTGACATGCTGTGAAACATCCGAACAATACATAAATTGCATAGACTTTCCCAAACTATTACATCAAAACATGATGTAAAAAAGGTCATAAGAGAACTATAGACCAATCTTGTTATTGTTTGCTGACTTGGAAAACTACATTAAGTTCATTGCATCTGATTTTTTTGTCATGTAACAGATTCACTAAAAATAATCACAAGCATTATAACGGGTTAATGTCAATCTAGAACATGACTATATGTATGGTATCTTATTTTCTTTATTCCATTTAATTAAACTTTCATCTACCCTACCAAATAGCGATTTAGACTTGTCTATAGAAAGGTTATCAAGTAGCTCATTGGACCCAAATTCATTGGAAATGTAACCATATGGGTGATTCAGCTCACCTCCCTCAACTTGTATCATCAATTGTATCTTTCACATCCACATCACCTCAATTTTATTTTAACCCAAAAAACAGATTTCCAATAACATTACATTTCCTCAACCACAAAACTAGTCTCAACTAAAAGCTCAAGATGGAATGAAATTGATAAGATCAAAGGAGAGAAGGTAACAAGGAAATAAACATAACAAAATAACTCCAACCACAAAAGTATGATCCATTACCAAAAATTGAATCCAGAATTAAAAGCAAACAAAAATAAATTTAGTTCACCTATTCAAGACAATAAAACTAACAATAGAGTTGAAACGACGATTCCCCTTTTGACTTTAAAACAACTTACTTAGATGATTCCAATCTTGTTTGCAACATCCAAGGCATCATAATCTGGAGTTAACCGAACATATGCCTTCTTTGTTCCATCAGGTCTGTGTTTCATTAAAAATACACAAAAACAAGCATTTAAAAACTTGTTTCATTTAAAAAAAAAACACAAGACGAAAAAAGATACCTGATCAAGGTGTTGACTTTCTTGGTCTGGATGTCATACATCTTCTTGACTGCATCTTTGATTTTCTTCTTGTCAGCACGGATGTCAACAATGAAGACAAGGGTATTATTGTCTTCAATTTTCTTCATTGCAGATTCTGTGGTCAAAGGGTATTTCAAGATCTGGTAGTGGTCTAATTTGTTTCTTGGTGGAGCACTGATGCGAGGGTACTTGGGATTTCTGTCTGTCTTTAGTGTCCTTGGGCGGTGAAAGGTAACCTTGGTTCTGATCTTCTTGGCTTTCTTTTTGAATGTTGAGCCAGTCTTTACAGCTTTGGCTGTCTTCAAAGCTTGTGACTTTGCATCACCTTTCTTTGTTGCATCACCTGTAAATAAGAGACAGTATGTGTAATGGTTAGAATTAGTACAAGGATAACTGCTTCTATGATTATATAAAACTAATGTGGAGGTGATATCTAATTT